GTGTCCCGGTGCCCCCCGCTCCAGCTGCGCCGCCAGGCCCGGGAGCGCCGGGAGTACCTTCAGCGCCGGGCGCGGGAGCAGCAACTGCAGCGGCAGCGGGAGAGGAGGGAGAGCCTGCGGAGGGCACTGGACGGTACCGGGACCCGGGAATGGTCCGCAGGGGGGGTAAAGGGGGGCTGGGGAGCCGTAAAGAGGGGCTGGGAGGGGGCGGGGGGGGTTTTAGAGGGTTTGAGAGGAGTTATGTGGGGGGTTGGAGAAGATAAAGTAGGAGGTTAAAGAGGGTTTGGGGGGTGTAAAGAAGGGTCAGGAAGCAGAAAAGGGGATTTGGGAGAGGTTAAGGGGGAGTTTGGAGGGGATAAAGAGGAGGTTAAAGGGAGGGGGGGGGGGCCAGAGTGGGGCTAACAGGGGTTTGGGGGGATAAAGGGAACTTGGAGGGGGAAAGGGGGGATTGGGACATTTGAGAGGGTTAAAGATGGGTCAGAGGAAAAGACTGGGGTGCTATGGGGCCAGGGTGGGTTATTTGGGGCTGGGGGGGTATTTGAGGCCAGGAGCATTGAAGGTCCTGTGTGAGCCCCCCGTCTCCCCTCTGTCCCCCAGAGAACCAGCTGCTGCCCACGGAGCTGCGGCGCGAGGCCCTGGCCCTGCAGAAGGAGCTCGAGTTTGACTTCGACACCCCTGGGGGTGAGTGGGACCCCCAAACAAGGGGGTGAGCAGAACCCTGGAATGGGGAGTGACTTCAACCCCAAAATGGAAGGGGCTGCCTCAAAAGAAGGGTGGACTTGGCCCCAGATTAGCCCCGAATTCAGGATGAAATTTGGCCTGTTTTCTCCTAAAGTATATGTTGCTTTTTTTTAATGCCCCCACCAAACAAGATTAAACTGCAAGGAGAGGATTTGGCCAAATTGTCCCAAAATGGGATCAAACCTGCCCCATTTCCCCACATTGGACCAAGAACTCCCCACAGGGACCCCAAAATGGGAGTGGATTTTTCCAAATCGCCCCAAAATAGGATCAAATCCGCCCCACCCAAACCCCCCCAGAACTGCGTCAGCAAATTGACCCAAACAGCCCCAAAGGGGCTCAGCTGCCCCCATGTGGGTGTGGCTGTGGCAGGAGGGGGCACAGTCCTTAAAAACCCCACCCCCAGGTGCCACCAGCAGCCAGGATGACGAGTACCGGTGGGCGGGGGTGGAGCCCCCCAAGGTGATGGTGACGACGTCGCGGGACCCCAGTGCCCGCCTGCGGCTCTTTGCCAAGGTGGGTGGGGCTGGGGTGGGTGTGTTTAATGAGGGTGTGGTCAGATGCAGTTGGGGTGGGTGTGGTCAAGATAGGTGTGATCCGGATGGGTGTGGTCAGGGTGTGGTGGGTGTCCTCTATTAGGGGTGTAACCTCAGGCAAGGGTGGGGCTTGTTGCTCTACAAAGTGGGTGTGGGTTGGGGCAGTGGGAGGGGCTTGGTTGGCCCCACCCCTTTGGGGGTGGTGCTTCATTTGAGCCAATGTTTGTACATGGGAGGTGGAGCCTGTTTAGGTGGGTGTGGCCATTCGAGGGTGGGGTCTGTATGTGGGTGTGGCTCCCTGTCCACAAGTTGGCCTGGAGGTGGGTGTGTCCTTGAAGAAGGGGTGGGGCCCAGAGGTGGGTGTATTCCAATGGGTGTGGCCTACCATTGTGTCCCCGCTGACCCCGCCCTGCCCCGCCCCAGGAGCTGTGCCTGCTGTTCCCGGGCGCGCGGCGCATGAACCGCGGCCGCGCCGAGCTGGGGGCCCTGGTGGGGGCCTGTCGGGCCGCGGGGGTCACCGACCTGCTGGTGCTGCACGAGACCCGGGGGCGGCCTGGTCAGGGGGGGGGGGGGGCTCACACCCAGAGAGGGGCGGGGCTAATGGGGACATGCTAATGATCATGGACAGGGTGGTGGAGAACAGGGTGTGGCCATGAGGGTGGGCGGGGCCCTGGGGGTCTCCAGTTGAAGGAGTGGAGCTTATGGGAGTGGGTGGGGTTAAGGCCCAAGGGGTGGGGCTTTGGCAAAGGTGTCCTGAGGGCAGGGCCACAGGAAGGGGCGGGGCTCCACCTGCCAGGCAGGTGTTTGGTGAGTGGGCGGGGCCAAGGGGGGCAGGGTTCTTGGCATCGGTGGGGTGTGTGCCATTGGGAGGCGTGTCCTGACAAGGCCCCACCCCCAGACGGGCTGACCGTGTCTCACCTGCCCCACGGCCCCACTGCCCACTTCACCCTGAGTGGGGCCGTCCTGCGCCAAGAGGTCGGGGGGCTCGGGGGGGGCTCCCCTGGCCGCCCCCCACCTGCTGCTGCTGCACCTCGACTCCACCCTTGGCAAAAGGGTACGGCCGGGGGGGCACGGGGGGTGTGGGGGGCAAAGGGACATGGGGGGACAAAAGGGACACGGGGGGGGAAAAAGGAGGTGTGGGGAGGCAATGGGGACAGCGGGGACATGGTGGGGACAAAGAGGACATGGGGGGACAAGGGAGGCTGCAGACTTGGGGGGATGTAGGGATGTGAAAGGACGTGGAGGGGTCTCTGGGGGCATGTTGGTATATGGGGTGATGTGGGGACATGGGGGTCACAGAGATGTGGGGGATTTTGGAGGAGACACGAGGACCACGAGGGGGACATCAGGTGGAGTGGGGGGACATGGAGGAGGACATGGGGACACGGGGCCATTCATGGGGCACCCAGGGGTGTAGTGACCCCATCCCTGTCCCCCCCAGGTGGGGACCATCCTGAAGCACCTGTTCCCCGTGCCCCGCCCCGACAGCCGCCGTGTGGTGACCTTTGCCAATGAGGATGACGTCATCCTCGTGCGGTGGGTGACACGGGGGGGGTGATGGGGGGTAGGTCACAGTGGGACTGGGACTGGGCCCCCCTTGACCCCCCTGTCCCTGCAGGAACCACGTGTACCGGCGCCGGGGGCGGACGGTGGAGCTGGAGGAGGTGGGACCGCGGTTCCAGCTGCGCCGTGAGTGTCCCCCCGTCCCCAACCACTGCCCCCCTTGTCCCCAACAGCCCCACGAGGGTCTCCCCATGTCCCCCGCTGTCCCCAACGCCCCTGTGTCCCCCCCCAGCCTACCTGATCCGCCTGGGCACGCTGGAGCAGGGGGATGCAGCTGACGTGGAGTGGCGCTGGCACCCCTACACGGCCACGGCCCCCAAGCGCCGCCTGCTCAGCGCCACCTGAGCCGCCCGGACCTGCCCTGGGCCCCCCCAGGCAGCTGGGACCCTCCTGGAAACCTGGCAGCACCCAGGCAGCTGGGACCCTGTTGGATGCCTGGGACCCCCCCAGGCTCCAGGGCCCCCCTGGGCCCCGCCAGAACCCCCCGGGTGTTTCACACACCTGGGAGTCACAGAATCATTTTTTATTTGTCACAATAAACCTTTTTTGGCTATTTTGAGCTCTGTGGTGATTGGCCAGGCTCTGCTGCAGCCCCTCCCTGGCAGGAGGGGCCCAGGGGTCCGTCCCCCCTTCACACCTGGGACCACTCGGCCGGGGGGTCCCGTGGGCCCTTGGGCTTCCCGATGCGGAAGTTAAACCCTGGGGTTGGGGGAGACAGGGGGACATTGAGGGGGGACCAGATGCCCCATGTCCCCCCTGAATCCCCTCCTGAACCACCCCCAGACACCAGGGCCCTCCTGAACCCCTCACTCCCCACCCTGGACACCAGGAACTCTCTGAAACCCCCCCAGAGCCACCCAGACACCACAGACCCCCCTGGACACCCCGTGCTCACCGAGGCAGGGGCCGCTCCCGGGGTCCCCGGGGGGGGTCACAACCTCGTAGGCGCCGTCAGCGGGTCGGGGGGAGCCTGGGGGGCAGCAGGGGGGTCGTCAGAGCCCATCAGCCTCCCAAGGTGCCCCAGATCCCCCCCGAGCCACCCCACTCACCTGCCGGGGTGGGGGAGGGGCGGTGCACGGGGCTCCCCGGGAGGGAGCACGTGCCCGAGGGGGCGGGGTCTCGCCCGAAGGGGGCGGGGTCTCGTCCAGTGGCTCCGCCCCCCCGGCGCGCCTTGTTGACCACGGCGTAGGTGACATCCATGGGGGGGGGGCGCGGGGGGCTCGGCCGGCACCGAGACACTCCTGGGAGAGGGAGGGGAGGGTGGGGAAGGGAAGGGACCCCCCCGTCCGGGGCTCCCCAACCCCAAGCGAGGACTCACCTGAGCAGGGGCGGCCGCAGGGCCCGGCGGGCGACGGCGTCCTGGTACAGGGGGGGCTGGGGAGCAGGGGGTCACCTGAGCCTCCCAGCGACGGGGCCTTCCCGAGCTCCTGGGTCACCCCCAAACTCTCTTGGCCCCCTGGCAGCCCCGGTCCCTGCTCTCACTTCCCCTTTCCGGGGGCAGGAAGTGCCGCTCAGCCCTCGTGCCCCCACCCCGCCCCGGATGCCTGAGGCCCCCCCTGAGCCCCCGGGGCCCCCCCCTCAACTCCTGCACCGCCCCCAACCCCTGGGTCCCCATCCGCCCCTCCGGCTCCCCCTCTAACCTGGACCCCCCGGGCCAGGCTGAGATGGGCAGGGGGCGGTGGAGGTGCCATTGGGGTCCGGGGGGGTCCCAGGTGTGCAGGGGACGGAGGGGACCAGGGGGTTTTCAGTCCCCCAGACCCCGCCCCCGGGTTAAACCCCGCCCCTGGGCTGGACGCAAGCTGGGGGGGGCTAAAGCTCCTCCAGAGGCACCTTTAGGGGTCCCTATATATCCTGTACCATCTGGGGGGGGCTCTTGTGGGGCTTCTTCAGGTCCCTCTGGTGCCTGTAGTGTATTGGGGGGGCTCTACAGACCCTATAGACCCTCTGTGAATTCCTCTAGGAATTTCATGAGTCCTTATGGACTCTACAGCTGCTGTGGCTGTGTGAGGTCCCCTAAAGCACCTCTGGGGAGCCTATAGAAGCTCTGGGGGTCCCTACAGCACCTCTGAAGTCCCTGTGGTTCCTACAGGTCAGCTGGGAGGCCCTATAGGCCCTACGGGACCTTGGGGTGGGGTCTGTACAGCCCCTGCAGAGCCCCTTGGGGTGTCCCAGAGAGCCGGGGAGCCTCTAAGGGGTCTCCTATGGCCCCCGCAGACCCCTGGGTGGTGCCCCTACGGCCCCTTTGGGGCCGTGGGTCCCTCCCCACCCGGTCACGCGGCAATGAGTGCCGCAGCCCCGCCCCGCCCTCGTGACGTCACCGGGGAACCCGCCAAAAGGGCCGCCCCGCCCCAGGCCACGCCCCGCCCCCGCTAATTGGCCGCGCCCTCTGCCTCCGCACCGCGCGCGGATTGGCGGGCGCGGACGACGCGGTGACGTCACGAGGCGCGCGCGGCGCGGCGGTTCCCGGAAGCGGCGGCGGCGGCGGCGGGAGCGGGGCCGCGGCGGGAGGGTGAGCGCGCGGGGGGGGCGGGGCCAGGGGCGGGGCCTGGGGCCGGGGTAGAGGGGTCCAGGGCTGGGGGGGCAACGCACCGGAGGGCGGGGCTGCGATGAAGGGCGGGGCTTGGCGATGGGCGTGGTTTTTAAGCCTCTGTTGGTGGGGCTGTGGCATGGCTGGGGCTCCCTGGGGGCGTGGCCGAGAAGGGGCGTGGCTAAGGGACCACTCGGGGGCGTGTCTTAGAGCGGTGATGGGCGTGGTCTCGCAGTCGAGGGCGGGGCCAATGAGCCACGTGTAGACACCACGTGTTCCGGGGTGGGGCTCTGGGGGGGTGTGGCTTAGTGCTTAAGGAGGCGTGGCCTGATACCGAGGGGCGTGGCGTGGTGGGAAGACCCCCGGTGGCTGGGGATATCCAGGTGGGGTGGGGGCGTGGTCAGGGGCGTGGTTGGTGTGTGTGGGTGTGGCTTGACGAGCCCCACCCCTTCATTACCCCCCTCCTGCAGGTGCCTCAACGGCAGCAGCGCCCGGGACCCCCAAGCCCGGGTCCCCTGAGCCCCACCCCGGTGAGGCCCCTGCAGAGGGGTGGGGCCTCCCAGGTTTTTGGGCACTGCCCCAGCGCCCCCTGCCCATCACAGGTGTGGTGAGGACCAACCTGGTGGGGGCAGCGGCCACGGCATCCTTGGGTCATCACCACGGCGGGCAGAAGGAGAACAAGGTATCAGTGGCAGTGACAGCCACGATGTCCCTGAGGGGCCACCCCGGTGAGGAGGAGCAGGTGGCAGTGGCCATGATGTCCCCGGGTGCCCAGCACGGTGGGGACAAGGACGAGGCAGTGGCACTGGCGGCGGTGGCAGCCACAGCGTCCCCAGGGGGTCACCCTGGTGAGGAGGAGGAGGTGACCATTGCAGCAACGTCTCCACGGTGTCACCCCAGTGAGGAGCAGGAGGAGGAAGAGGTGGCGGTGACGGCGGCAGTGACGTCCCTGAGGTGTCACCCCAGTGAGGAGCAGGAAGAGGTGACAGCAGCAGAGGCCACACTGGCCCCAGACAGGCGGCACAGCAGAGATGAGGACATGGAGGCAGTGGCAGTAGTGACGTCCCCAGAGTGTCACCCCAGTGAGGAGCAGGAAGAGATGACAGCAGCAGTGACGTCCTCGGAGTGTCCCCCTGTTGGAGCTGAAGAGGAGGTGACAGCGGGGGTGACATCGTTGGGGCGTCACCCCAGTGAGGAGGAGGAGGTGACAGCAGCAGTGACATCCCCAGGGTGTTCCCCTGCTGGGGAGGAGGAGGAGGAGGAAACACAGGCCATGACGTCCCCAGGGTGTGTCCCCGTTGGGGATGAGGAAGAGGAGGTGACAGCAGCAGTGACAGCGGCAGCGGCCACATCAGCCCTGGGCGGGCGGCGTGGGGCGGACGAGGACGTGGCGGCCGCGGGCTGGCGGGCGCGGCGCAAACACGTGTTCGTGCTCAGCGAGGCCGGGAAGCCCATCTACTCCCGGCATGGCAATGAGGAGGCTCTGGCAGCCACCATGGGCGTCATGATGGCCCTCGTGTCCTTCATCCAGAGCGGCGGCAACGCCATCCGCGCCATCTGCTCTGGTACGGCACGGGGGGACACGGGGAGGGCAGGACATGGGACCCCCCAAACTCACACAGACCCACCCAGGGTACCCCTGAAACAACCCCACACAGGTACGGCCACCCCCCC